TACTCGATTTGAATGATCTACGTTAGATTGGCTTTGCACCCAGAGTTTAAGGGGGTTGCGCTTGGTCAAGTTAGTCCTTTGATCTTTGCTAACGAGTTTTTTAGTCTCCTGTTGGTGGGTCCCTTTGGTTTTGCACCAGTGGTCCTTCTTGGTTGTACATCTCTGCCTTTAATCTATTGGATTTGCTCGAGATTCAAGATGACGCATTTGTATGTACATATTTTAATTTCCCATTTCTATTTCTTATTGAAAGTGATAGTTGAGATAAGAATAAGAGAAATAAATATACAAAAGTAGATTTATTTATTTTGTAGTCAGTACTTTTTATAATTACACTTCATAGATTTCTGCGTCCATGATCCTTATAAATAGAGTGTGATTGACGCTTCGACCATCACATTTCCTTCCACGCCCACACACCTCATTCAACCGGCTTTATGAATACATTCATAGCGAGCGATAAGATGCCTTTGGATGCCATACTGAGCGATGATATGGTGATAGAAGACTTTTGGATTGTCCCCGCCATGAACTTCGACCGAGGTAAAGAAGCCTTAGGGTGAGAAGAAACATGAGGGGGAAGAAGAGACTTGAGAGAGATAAGCATATGAAGCAGGTAACCTATAATACAAGAAATGGAGGGGTGGTGGAGACGGCAGATGAAGTAAGGTTCCGACTAGCTTCTAGGCCTTCGGCCGGGAAAAGAGCGCACAAAGGTAAGGCGACCCAACCTACTTGAATCTACTACCTCTTGGTTGAAAAACTAAACTCTCAAGCCAACATATTACCAATGGACTAAGGTGGTTTGCATAAAATTAGGTCATTAATTTGTTATAGATTGTCTGTCAATAATTACCGGCCTTTTTTATTAATAATAGGTTGCCATAAAGTGATGAATGCGTGAACTTTACCCTTCTCAAATCCTGACTTGTAAAATTCACGTTAATATAATCGGTTCAAAGTATTAAAATGCAAGTAGCTTAAGTTGGTTTTTGTTATTTTTTGAAGTTTCTTCCACATTATGCAAATATATGCCGCTTGCTTGTTTCATTTATATATTATCTAACAATTAGAAATAAAATAAAAATGGGGAAATTTTGAGTAATCATTCATTGGAGTTCATTATAATAAAAAAATAAGATAAAATAAAACAACTTTTTTAATGTATACCATCCTTTTTAGATTGGACTAAGGAATGTTAAACTCAAGCCTAATCAGACAAGTGATCTAAAAAGCTACAACGCTGATGAATCTAACACGAAACTGGCACCGATTGCTTTTCTGGCAGAAAATAATCGGCCAATTTGGACATCATATACCGGCAACGCCGCAGGATGCAAGATTTCTCCTCCTTCATACGCCGTTTTAGTAAAAATATAAACTTTTAATCATTATAATTTACAATCAACTTTTAATACGCCTTTTTAGTAAAAATTAAGCAAAAATTTAGATTTCTCCTCCTTCATACGCCTTTTTAGTAAAAATATAAACTTTTAATCATTATAATTAAGCAAAAAGAGCACATATTTTTTTTATTTTAAGCTGAATCTACAATCAAATTTTTTTTATAATAATTAAAGCGTGTTATATTAAAATATTCTAAATATATTAAAGTTATATAATTAGACTCAATATATTTATTAGATACAAATTATGGCATTTATATAGTAACTTAAATCATTAACCATTAATTTGAGTTATAGGGATCAATAAAATTTGATAATGTCAAATGATTTTGTTCAAGTTTGTTGGTTCACGTATAAGAAAAATATCTTTGAAAGAAAGAAAAATGACTTTTTCACTGTACACAGAAAATGTGTCAGCTTGAATCTTATAGGAATCAAACTGACTCGATAAACGTGACATGGCAAGAGGGGATCCGATGGTAAAGCAACTCATGTGGGACTCGAGCAGCCAACCATCAACCCAAAGCCGGCAAGTTAGGCAGCCGGAGGGCCCCCAAACATAAACCGACCGACAGTGAAAGTCAAGCGGCTGAAGCAATTAAGGACCTCTCAGAGGTCGAGTTAACCGACGATATACACTCCCTCCAAATGATTTTCCTAGCAGGTTTATCATCACTGTCCACCCGACTTCGCAAGATCACCAGACCGGCTGCACCCGAATTGCTAGCCAATCGGATGAGCCCACTAGAACCGTCTACCAACAGGGTTGGCTGCCTCATCCAAATCATACAACTCACTAGGCCTCCAAGGACATCAAAAGCTCACTAGGCCCCGCCAAGGTAAAATATCCATAATACCCTATACAGTCCCTACTAAGATTGGGAAACCTATGTAATTTTTTGTACCACGTCTTCTATGTTATATATAGAACTTCATTTTGTAACTAAAGGCTTACACAATCTTAGCCAATCAGATCGAGAAAGGTCATTTACTTACTCTAAGTTAATGTTCACAACTACGCAATAGCACACTCATTTTCTCTTTTTCTCTTCATTTCTTCACTTTTATTCCACACTTTATTCCTTGGGTGTGACCCACTGGACAAATTTGGATTCAACATCCTGAAAAATGTGTTAAGCATGAAGTCATACCACCAAGAAGAGGAGCACAGTATGGAGAAGTAACTCATACAAGAGACACAAGAAATGTAAAATGGACTAGGAGATTTGTTCATGAATAGAGTCAAGAGTTGAGAGAACAAATGCTGGGTCAAATGGCAGAGTTGACTCGAGTAGTGCTGGAGGAAGAGAACAAGTTTCCTTGGAGCAAAACCCTAGAGTAGAACAGCCCATACCCCAAGGCTGCTGAGTGGCTCAAGGGAATGAGTGATTTGCAAACTCCTAATATTATGATAGTGTTGAGTCTGCACCAATAAACAAAGAGAAATATGAGGACACAATCGCCAGCTGGAGAATGTGTTAACTCAATAGATTTCTAACTCTAAATCACTGGAGAAGTTTAAGAGTCTTAGGCTAGAAACTTATAAGGGAAGGAACAACCTGGCTGACCAAATCATCTTTTTTGAGTCATTTGTTTGCCTCTAGATGACCTCAGATACACTAAAATATTGGCTATATTATACCACACTTAGGGAATCAAGTGGTTCAATAAACTGTCTTTAGGAGTGATCACTTCTTGTGCAAATTTTAGAAGGACGTTTCAGGTGTAGTTCACCAGCATCCAAAAACCCAAGAAGATTTCACAGGCTTGTGGCTGATTAAAAAGGGGCAGGATGAGAGCTTACACTCTTACATCATAGGACTTGGGATAGATTAAAAGGGGGCGGGATGAGAGCTTACACTGTTACATCACATGATTTCAAAAAGAGATGGAAAATAGTTAAGGAGAGTGATTTCAAAATGACCTCTGCCAGTTGTCGCCAAAGATCTTGACCGAGC